AAGGGAGTTGTACTAGGGGAGGGGATTTTTGGGAAATCGTATTTCGCGAAATGCTCCCTCAACGGCAGGACGTGCCTTGATTAGATATCTCACACCTTTTCACGACATTCCCGTATCTCTTTGCTGGAATGGTGTTTTCAATCAGAGCACTTCACTGAATTGCATGACCTGCTTCTTTTTTCTCGGTTGTTCTGTTTGTGTATTTCGTTCTTGTCATTATCCTTTGTTTCATTCTTTTCCCTGAATGCTTCCCCCTCTAACACAGCTGCAATTGAAAATTTTCTATCTCTCATCACGATTTGGTTACGATTCGAAAGGCTATGTGCAACTGTAGCTGCTCCTTTTCAGAAAGATCCAGTTTTTCGTACTTGACGAAGCTGATCAGATGTTAGACGGCCAGTATAATGAGCAGGTGAGCTTTTTTGACTCAGTTCTGATAAATGAAAAGTGCATCTTCATGAATGCATTCGTGTTTATTTCAGTTGAGGACTATTTTTCTTGCCATACCTAAGCAACGTCGCACACTTCTCTTTTCCGCAACTATTACAAGTGCCATCACGAAACTTCACACGGTACGCTTTTTTCTATGTTTCTTTTTCTCATTTTTTTTCTATTCGAACATTGACTTCTATGTGTGTTTGTTCTCAAGTTCGGTGATCCGTGCAAACGATGGGGCGTGTGGCGGCGCGTACTGGAGGGCGCCCTTTTCCACCAACGATGCCATCCCGAGTCCGCAACACTTGGCTTGAAAAGTTATTCTGGCTGCGATCCAACTCACAACCCTTCCCATGCCCTATCGTTCGCATGACTATAAGTGTAGAGGCGCTCATCCACATCTAGTTTCAGTTGCTCGTCGCGAGCAAATCAGCAAACCCAGGCGCTTTCCCTACGTGCGCTGCCGGAGAAATAGTGCCATCCTTTGCAGTTTTTATCTTGTACGATCTTAGCCTAATGAGGATACAAAGTTTCCAGGTCACTGTGAAAAAGCCTTATTTCTTCGAGGATAAACAAGAGATTGCAACAGTGGAACGGTTAGAACAGAAGTTTGTCCTGTGTCCGGTCGCTGTGAAGGATGCTTATCTCGTAATTTTTATGCTTCATTTTCCAAAGGCTACTGGTAAGGTACATTGCTCTCTTCAGGTATACGTTGTGAAGAACTACTGTGAACGAAATGAGAACAGTTCTGTTATTGTCTTTGCTCAAACCTGCCGAGAATGCCAAGCTTTAGCCTATATGTTTGATGCACTAGGATTTAAGGTCTGTTTGTTGTTTTGCTTTACCTTTTGGTCGATTCTCGGCAGAGTTTCTTTGAATCTCCTATCAGATTGATTCGGGGGGAGGGGGGACAAGAAAGTTGACTCTTGGATCGTAATATAGAGAATTCAGGCTACGTTTACCTGGAATATTGTTGTAATATTCTGTTCAGGTTGCATCACTTCATTCCCAAATTGAACAACGCCTTCGCAGTGCAGCGCTTTCTTCGTTCCGGTCAAAAACTCTACGGATTCTTGTATGCACGGATGTAGCATCTCGTGGCCTCGACATCCCTCACGTATGTCCTTTTATTTGTTTAATTATAACTCCCATCTGTTTCATATGTATTTTTTCGTTTTGTCACGATTCAGTTGAATTGAACTTGTCCTTTGTATCCCTCCTCAACACAGATTAGTCTGTATCGAAAAGGGCATTTTAAGGTTGATTTGGTGGTCAACAGAACGATTTCCTAAGTCGCCCAAACTAATGTCATCGAGTGGGTCGTTCAGCTCGTGCTGGGAGGTGGGTCATTTATGTTACCTGTCCATACTTTGTGTCAAGGTTTTGATCGTTTCAAGCGACTGCGCGAGCATAGTTATCGATCTAGCGCATGGCAGTGTATGCCAGCGTACAGCAGCAGTCAGAGCGTCTAGGAAAGCATGCATATCGATCTATCGTTTTGAGCGTTCACCAGCATTTTGAGCGACCGGGAGAGTAAATACGGATCTATAGTTTTGATCGCACACCAGCGTTTTCAGCGACTGCCCGCCAAAAGCTTAAAGACACATGGTACGCTCAACACATTGAGGGTGTATGAGACTACCAGCCTCCCAGCTGTCGATGTGTCGTGGTCCCCCCGCCCAAACATGCCCAGGAATGGAGATACAGGACCGTGAAACACGCTAATTCCTTCATGCTCCGCCTTATACCTTTTTGCGGCGGCAGATTCCCGTCCTGTCACAACATTCCGTAATCGTGAGAGGCGTTGTCGCGTGCGGCTCCTTGGCATTTGCCAAGTCCTTTAATTGCGCTCTCAAATACGACTAAAACGCAATTTCCTGATGCGGATAACATTGGAGGTGCTACAAATCAAACGACCGGAAGATGATGACGAGGCCAGAAACTCGGGTGTGAGGTTTAGGACTACCACGGATAGTCACGCTGGCATGTCTCGCCAGGTCCGCGCCCGAATTGCAACTGATTTACGAAGAGGCAAACAATGGTCGTGTGATTAAGAGTCCGATCCTTCCATCAGTTTCTGGCATAAAAAACGCGAACCTGCTTGGATTATTCCAACTATTTACAATATTTCAAATGGCGGAAGTTATTATTTGAATGTAAAGCCTGTACTTATTCGAAACGGTTTCTAGTATTACTCAAACAGAACCTACTTCCACCGTCATGCCAGAGAATCTAAACCTTTACAATATCATTACAATTGATGCGCACAAAAGACTCACCCTTAAAAGATTTCGTATAATTTGCTGATGTGTACTTCTCTAAATAAATTTCTATGTTAATGGGTCGTTTTTATTAACTTAGTATTATGGATATCGAGGCGCCATATCCTCAATAGCCCTTCACACCGCAATATGAAGGCAAAGACGTATGGAAGAGTCATCGAAATTCTATTGTGCAAATGCAAATTAAATAACATAGCGAAACATTGCGGAAAGCACATCTCGCTTCGCGGCGAGCCAGCGAACCTCTTCGTAGGAGGTCGAACCGTTCCTACCCACAGATTCAGATTTTTTGTAGTAATATTTCTATGCTTTGGCGCGTATTGCGGCCGGCGTTAGAAATATTAACCAAGGCCAATTTATATGATTTGCCTTCATTGAATTCTTACATTTGTTTCTAATTACATCTACGCTCGTCTGTTGCTGTCATTTTTCTAGCCTGTGTCATCTTCATCTCCTTGTACATGGTGAAGCATGAGCAACTCCTCAATTTTTATTCGCATCAGGAAATTGCGTTTTGCTTGTATCAAACTAACGAGTATGTATGCCCGTTTTATTTTCATGTTTCTGTCGTACCGTGCCTTCCGAGGATTTGACAGAAGTGCACGAATGGTTGCTTTTAAATTCTGACCGGGGGCCTCTTCATCATCTCTATTCTTTATTTTGCAAGCACTACAAAATAAAAAAAAAAAGATCAAATCATGTTATCTCGCATCAGAAATTGCGTTTTCCTATGTATATGAGAGCGCGCAATAAAGACATACGGCAAAGTGCCAAGGACCGCAACCGCGACAGGCGCTTACGCTACGGATGTTATCGTAACGGCGAATCTGCGCCGTAAACAGGCAGTGGCGAGCATGGGAGAAGAGCCGGTGTTCTACGGCCTCGTGTATTGCATTCCTGTGCACAGTTGAAGCGGAAACCGCTTATGCTTGATAAGCTGGGGGCTGCTAGTCACATACAACCTCAATTGTGTGTGAGCGTACTATGTTCCTTTAAAGCTGCGCGCGATAAGACAGCCTAGAATCGCTGACGTACGCTCAAACGCTATGTCGATATGCATACATTGCGTGCATCGCTTAAAGAACATCATGGATGACGTCATCAACACATTGAAGGTGATAATGAGACTAACAGCCCCCATGCTAGTCGATGTGTCGTGTCGAACGCCGCTAAACTGCACGTATGCCTAGCACGGACCAGTGAACAGGCTTATCCTTGCTACACAGCCAAAATGAACTTGGCGCGGCGAAATGCATACTCTGCGGTCCGCGGTGAATTTGTTCGTGTAGCAATGGATAGAGCCTTCTTCCCACTAGGTCCCATATAGATCCCCATGCATTTCAGGCGGGGACCACGAAAGTCTACAGCTGGGGCTGTTATGATCTCATACACCCTCAATGTGTTTGAGCGTACCATGTGTCTTTAAAAGGCTGCTGCGCGCTGCTGTACGCTCAAAACGGTGCCATACGCTCAAGACACTGACGCAAAGTATGAACGCAACCTTGCGTTGCCTGAATTCGATATCTGGGGACGCACGAGTTTCTTCCAGGTACGGAGCTGCATTAACATTCGTCACCCAGTACGATATAGTTCTTCTCCAAGCCGTGGAAGAACTTATTGGAATGAAGCTGGAGGAGCTCAAGGTAGTCTTTTTGGATATTTTTGGTATCGATCGCCATTATGAACTCACAAATGGTTCAGGTGAGCGACCAAAAGATCACACGTTATGTGACAAAGGTTCTCGTTGCCAAGCGTGAAGCCGAGTTGAGGCTAGAACAAAATAGTTTTGGTGAAAGAAAGGAAGCCAATCTACGCAAAGATCTATTAATGAGTGGAGTACCCGAGGAAGAGGTGAGCTAAAATTTACTTATTTCTTTTTGTACTGCTTAGAGAGCTCTTACTTACAGGTTGACAAACGAATCGAAGAGATTAAGCGGCCTCGAAATAATCGAAAGAAGACGCATTCCAAAACAGCTGTAGGAGAAAAGAGGCCCAAGTTCGCTGCTACGAAAGAACTTGATACGGCAAAACGAAAACGAGTAAAAGTGACATAATGACAAAGAAGAGAGAGAGAGAAATAAAAATTTATTAACATTGAGTATCACATCGAGGTCTGTCATAAATTGAGATCTTCATCAGGATCGCTATCGTCCAAGTCATCCTCCTTATCTGGTGTGTAGATGATTTGACCACCTACTCGTACTTTGCGATCGGCCATTCGGAGGTTATTCAGTTCTGAACATAGATTGAATCAAACTGGCCTGTTATCGTCCCATTTCCTTCCCATTATTTACAGTTACCAAAGTTTTGAATTCCGTTCAACTTACGTACCACTTTGTTTAGATAGCGAGGTAAACGGAAGATTCAACTGAGACTTGGCTGCAAGTTCTTTCTCCTGAACAAGCACAATTGAAACATAACCACAGCTGATAACTGAATGGAGTTCAGTTTTAGACACTCCAATAGATGAACTTACGCTTAGTTCTGGCTCTAGGTCCATTGCCTTGGTAGGGTCTACCGTGACTGCAGCAGAAGTGACTTCCAGTGGTACGAACTTCTCACTCGATATTTTGAGGTCGCTATTCAAAGCAACCGTTTCTGTCTAAAGAGTTTCATAGAGCAGGGTTAATGAAGTTTTTCTAAATACACCAATAAAGTCCTGGTAAGATTATCTATAATTGTGGCGGAGATGGTAAGGGACGGCGCGCGAATGTCAATGGCAAACTCCACACTCACCTCCGAAGATGCTGGTTACCACATTAGTGAAGAACGGGTTGGCACTTGGCGAGTAATAATTACGTCACATGAGAGCGCGCGGAAATGAAGCTAAGGGGTAGTTATACCTGGGCCGTATTTATGGTGCGCATTTGCTTCTGTAGCAGCAACACGCTGTCAGTGGTGTAACTGAAGAGCAACTAGACGTAGAGGGGTAGACAAGTGACGCCTTTGGCTATGGTTAGGCGCGTGGTTCGGAGAAAGTGGTGCGTCGTACTTTTCCGCTGGGGAGAAGGGTCGTATTTTTTCGTTGTTGGGAGAGGAGGTCGTACGTGGATTTGACCCCGCTCGACGGAAAATCTGTGAGTGGAAAACTGGAAAATGTGGGAAATAGGTAGGACAGGTGCTGGGGAAGGGGGGGGGTCGTACCGAGACCCTGATTTAGGTGGGGGGGGGTCGTACCAAGACCTTCCTTCGAGAGGGGGGGGTCGTACTGGACACCACCATTTCACACATCAGGATGCTGTACCCTGTCTACTGATGTCTTCAAAATACTCATCCAGACCATAATAGTGGATCCTTGACTATCTTCCTGGCACAGTTCAAAACTAATTCATGCGCAGACAGCAAAAGACTGTAACTAACTGACTCGCAGCCTTTTACGCAGTAGTATATCTAGCGCAATAGATTTTCTGCCTTCTCTGGAGAAAAAATTCACATCGCGTTTTGGTTTTGGTGGCTGTTTTCGCTCTTTTAGCCACACTATGAGAACCACCAAGTGCGAAAGTCAGAGAGCACGTCAAACGACACCTGTTTTTACCTGTCCTTCACCCGCCTGGGTCAAGAGGGAGGAACAAGTTGGCGCGTTCCAGCTAACAGTCGTACTCATATTGCACGGTCAAGACGATCGCAATTTGTCGCTCAGCCGCGCGTGGCGATGGGTGCGACGTTTTCCTAATTTACGCTGTGTCGGATGAAGCACAGCATTTCATATAGATTACTACTTCGTAGACATGGCTATTTTGGTGATGCATGGTCTATTGTTGGAATCTACGACGTCTGAACATCGCCATGTGCGGCGCGACGTCGCACGCGGCGCTTACCAGCACGGCGAATTGCGATTGTCTTGTCACATACCCCAGCTAAACTATGAAGAAAGAGAGCATCTTAAACGCACCACTTCAGTCCGCTTTCCGTTCCGCTTGTATGTCACTAGTTCTGAAACGCAGCGATCATCGCGCCTCTGAAGTTTGATGATCGAGTTCGCTGCGGCGCAAAACCGACTGTACTCTTCATTATTGATGGAATTCTCTGAGCAAACAACCAGGACGGCGAATTTGGCTAAATAGACCAACCATTAGACAGTAGTTGTAAGTGATGCAAAGCTAATTATGACTTGCCTTTCAAGCGAAAAATGACCCCAACGATTGCATCTACAGTAAACATATCCACAAACACATCCACGCAGTCCAATATACAGCATGAAGGCGTGCATGAGCTTATTTTCGTAAAGATGGTTTCTATTGAATCCGTGGAGTCCAAACATATGAATGTTGCACTGCAAAGGCCAACTACGTTAGGTTGGCTTTGGACCTCAAATTTCATTGAATAGTCTAGTTCCATGCGGAAGAAGGAGCTTGTGAGGCGGTATGAGTGTGCCTCGGCGCCAAACCTGTTCTGTGCCAGTTGTTGAAGCGGTATGCGACAACAACTGGTAGAAAATAGTGATACGAACGATATGATACAGTCTTGTCACTTGCTCGCTTTATTCGGTTACAAGTTAGAAAAGAAGAGATCTTCAAGGTTGACAGATAGCCTGACCACTATCTAGCGAGACGTTAAAGTCTTGTTTGCTACAGATGCTGAAGCATTTCATGTAGGCTGGTTCTAGCCGTTGGACGACAGCCAGTCTCAACCAAGCTGGTCGCTGCCAGTCAGCAGTGGTGGTGAGAAGCGACGGCGCCCGCCAACTCCAGCCTCCTCCCCTTCCTAACTGAAACGCCAGCCATCCGTTTAGTAGAAGGGAAGACCATTTACAAGTTCCGAGGGTGTGGTGCTTGCAGATAACGAATCATGTCATGGTGAAGCACTTGCTTTTGCACTCGCTCGCTCGTCGAAATCCCTGGTTGTGCTGACAATCCCTGGCAGAGAGAACGTTCTCCGAAGAAGATATTCTACAGTATGTGAAAGGTTGGTTCAGAGTAGTTCTCTGCGGGCGAAGGCGCGTCTCTGGCAGGATGAGTACGGCGTGCGTGCCAAATCCCTTCCCCACCAAATGTGGTGCAGGTGCAAGGCATGACAAGACATGTATCATATTCTTTGCTATTCACGATTTTCTACCAGTTGTTGTCGCATATCGTTTCAACAATGGCAGCAGAAAAGGCATTGGCCGCCGAGGCACATTATAGCCTCACAAACTCCTTTTCGGCATGGAACTAGATATTTCAACAATGAAAAATTTGATGGTAAAGCCAACTACACTAGTTGGCCTTTGCAGTGCAACATTCATATGTTTGGACTCCACGGATTCAATCGAAACCATCTTTACAAAAATAAGCTCATGCACGCCTTCATGCTGTATGGACATGCGTGGGATGTGTTTGTGGAATATGTTTACTTGTAGATTTGCAATCGTTGAGGGTCATTTCGCTGAAAGGCAAGTCATAGTTAGCTTTGCATCACTTACAACTACTGTCTAAAGGTTGATCTATTTAGCCAAATTCGCTGTCCTGGTTGTTTGCTCAGAGAATTCCATCAATTAATGGAAGGAGCTACAGTTCGGTTTTGTCGCCCGCAGCGGAACTCGCATCTTCAAAGCTTCAGACTGGCGCGATGATCGCCTGGTTTTCAGAACTAGTGACATTACAGCGCGAAAGAAAGCGGACTGAAGTGGTACAACACAATTGGAGCCGTTTTATGATGCTCTTCTTTCTTATCCAGGGGCACATCGTATCGTTGGGGAATCCCACAGGGGCGGTTGATTAGCCGGGAGGAGAGGGCGTTCGTAGTGAGTGCGGCAGCCAGTAACGAGCAGCGCAAATTGTCAATGTGCTGAGTCCTGTACAACGAAACTTGCTTTGTAGAGAACTCGGATATGCAAAAAAAATAGTACAAAACTTTCATTCATCAAACTAATCCGAAATAACTGCAAATATTAATAAGTCGACATTATCTCGTAAGTCCGTTGGTGACTAAACAGTACAACTCAAACTCTGGTTCGCTGCCAATGATATGGCGTGTCCGCGGTCGCGCTTGGCGCTGAGCCAACCTGTTTTTTTCTCGACAAGCGACAGGACTACCATATCGTTCGTATAGGCGTTTTCCAGCAGTTGGTCTCCTTTATCGGAGTCAGACGATTGGCCGAAAGCAGAATCTGGCAGCGGTTCACAGGACATTAGTTCCATGATACCGCAACGGAAAACACTGTAAACAAGTGCACAGGCTCGCCATGGACCTCCCTGAACCTTATAGACACATTTGCTCGCGTGAACAGACATTACGCACAAGTTGCACCATCCCATCACCTCTGGCGGCCTCACGTGCCGCTTTGCGCATTCCAGAAGTTGGCCTGCGCTCCGTGATCGGCGCCTAAACGAACCATATCCTGCTCCTGCTCCACCACAGGATACGTTCTACATGCGTTCCTGGCTATTCGAACACGCTCACTTGAAACGGTACACAGGAAACGGGTTTTTCGCGCAGCTGGGAGTGTTCCTCAAGAAATCCCCATAGCGAGATCTCATGAATCCCGAGAGCTTCAGAAACAGTTCAAGAGGTTTTTCAGAAAGAGAAAATCTTCAAACACTCGAAACCATTCTCAGATTTGTGAAATGTTGAGTTACAAAAAAAATATATTGATTCAAACCTGTTCGGTTGAAACCACTCCCCAACGAATCCCTATGGCAGATTTCTCTGTGATTTTTGCGACGTTCATAAACGTTTTAGTACTTTTAGGAAGTGCAAACCTTCCTCTACACGAGTACGGTCTCCTCTTCCCCACAGGTCCGCTTTTGAGGAAGTTATGGTCCTTCAAAGACACCTAACTCAGCTGGAAATTCTCGCTCCATGGCTAAAATTGCCGAATAATCTCCTGTCACAGCCGCAATTACATGCGCTTCTTGCTACCGTACTCATAATCGGGGTATGCTTTTTACGGCGGGTTTGATATAACTGTTACGTAGTGAGACAAGCCTAACTTTCTCTTTTCCTCGTCCTCAATTGGGAATAGACGTTGTTAACACTGTGGTCGCTGATGGCCGCTCCCAGAGAGGGAGTCCACGTCAGGTTAACGAATGCTCATTGAATTTAATCGCGATATATCGTTATTATTACCATGTGTGTCTCAAAACGGCCATCGAAGAAGTTCATCATACGAGTTTCTCATAATACGATTGTACCGTTTTTGTTGCAATCATCTCTGTATTGTTCTGTTTATGTCATGACTTCAAGTCGTCCATTTAGTATGGGCACCTTCATACAAGTAGAATTTCATAGTGGGCGTTTCATAGTTTCATTTAAGGCGAAAAAAAAACCGAACGGCAAAAACAAAAATCAAAAGGGTGGGGGTCGATACGACCGCAACAAAGGGGTCGTAACAGGCGAACCAAATCCCATCGAATGCTGTGCCCTGTTCTTCATAGTTTAGCTGGGGTAGTGACAAGACAATCGCAATTCCCCGTGCTGGTAAGCGCCGCGTGCGACGTCGCGCCGCACATGGCGATGTTCAGACGTCGTAGATTCCAACCATGCATCACCAAAATAGCCATGTCTACGAAGTAGTAATCTATATGAAATGCTATGCTTCATCCGACACAGCGTAAATTAGGAAAACGACGCACCCATCGCCACGCACGGCGGAGGGTTCTAGCGCGACAGCTAAAACTCAATCCCTTTAATGGCGCCAACTTTCTTCTTTTCTCTGCGCTCTCTTGCCTGAATGGCGATTTATGGCCACTTTGACCTTTCACATTTCCAACTTTTCACGCATATTAAGTGGCTCATCCACCCCGATATCCCTTCCCTCGAAAAAACTCATCTCCTGGCTCGCATCGTGTTTTTTGTACCTCACGATGCCTTGGCAGCGGCAGTCCCTTATTGCTCTGCGCTCTGGCCTATCGTGGCATCACCGCCACCAAAAGTTTTAGTTGCATCACGTGTAACCCTTCGTCCCGTTCTTGACCCAGCGGGGCTGAAGGACAGGTAAATATAGGTATCGTTATGACGTGCTCCCTGCAGTTTCGCATTGTCGTTTCATTAGTGCTGGCTAAAAGAGCGAAAATATTCACAAAACCAAGCGCTAAGTGAATTTTCTCTTCAAAGAAAGCAGAAAATCTATTGCGATTGATATGCTACCATGTAACTGTTTGCAGCGGTAAATTAGTTCGAGCCGTTTGCCAAAAATATAATTTCACGCCCTACCAACTACAGGGCGGGGGGGACAAAAAAGCTGCGACCAAGTCACATATCAAAAGTTTCGCAGCCCAGACAGAGGATGTGGGATTTACGAGTACCAGCGGCGGAGATAACCCAAGATGTTCTCTATATAGCATGGAGTGGCTCGGGCCATCATCCTTCATGTACACCAAAAATTGACTCATCTTCAGTCGCAACCTGACTGGAGAAGACCTTCGGAATTTATATCACCTTCAAGCAGCTGCGAAACTTTTAGTATGGAGTCACCCACAGATAGCTCTGCAACAACAGCATCTCAATCTGGAGACTCCAAAACATTCGAGAGCTCTACAAACGTCGCACTCTAGAACATCATTTTCCACCACAGTCGCTAAGGCGCGAGTTGATAGTACCTGAAAGGGAAGACCGATATTTTCTTCGTGGACCCGGACTGAAGGTGAGCGCTGGCGGTTACATCGAGCAGCTCGAAAAGAATATCCTCCCCACAGTGAATAAAAACGATTGCCTCGTACCTTCTTGAAACTTATGTATCTTTACATCGTTTGGGTGCCACCACATGGAATCGGAGAGGCAGTATGTGAAAAACTCTCCCGCTTTACTTGGAACTGGAAGGGCGTTGAGTACCCTGAAGAAGATGGAATATTCAAGTATGTCCCCTGACCTAAACTCTCTCAATTACCGAGTTCGGGCGGAGCTCAACAAGGTGGTCTGCAGTGGCCGAGAAATCAGCTATCTCGCTGAAGCCAGGTACCGAATCACGGTTGCGTGGCAGAATCTCTCGACGGCGCTCCTCCAGAAGGCTGTGGCGCAGTGTCATGATAGTATTTCTTATGCTGTTGATTATGGTGATAGAATTGTCCGATTCAGAATTCGATAAAGTGTAACTTATAACGCCTCGAAAGTCTAGGAAGAAAAAAGACCTTTTTCTGCCCCACCCCCCTGTAGGGCCTAAGTGAGCCTTTTTGAAGACAGCGAAACTAAGCCTCTTCGCTTTCTTGAGGACAAACTGTACACTCAAACACAACAAATATTATTCCCGCTTTTGCCATGCGCGAGGCAATGGCCCCGCAACTGCAGTTAGTCCACTTTCTGCGTCAGAACTGTAGCGAAGGCGGAGCTGGGAAGACAGTTATGGGCTGGAAGACATTATTCATGTGCCATCTCTCGATTTCGACCTGCTGCCATATAACGATCGAGCGCCGCACATTGGCAACGCGCACTTTTTCTACCCATTCATTCTAAGGTTGTTCTCTGCCTTTTGACAGCTGGTTATTGGTGCGCTCTGGTATCGACGCAAATGCTGCACCACGAGGCCAGTGCTGGCGAAGAATGGATATGATCCGGGTATACCAACCCTCAGCTTCATTTCCGCGCGCTCTCATGTCAAGGAATTATCATCCGCTAAAGGCCTAACCATTATGTCAGCCGTCTATCGGAGAGATGTTTGTGAGAGTTTGCCTATTGACAATGCACGGCTTCGTTCCTTACCATCTTCACCACATTTACAGAAAATCTTATTTACCGGTATGTTTACAAAGACTGTTAACCATGCTCAAAGAAACTTTTTTTCAGACACAGAAACGGTTGCTTTGAATAGCGACCTGAAAATATCAAGTGAGAAGTTTGTACCACTGGAAGTCACTTCTGCTGCGGTCACGGCGGACCCTACTATGGCAATGGACCTAGAGCCAGAACTAAGCGTAAGTTCATCTATTGAAGTAGCTAAAACTGCACTCCATTCAGCCTTCAGTTGTGGCTATGCGTTCATTGTGCTGGTTCAGCGGAAGAATGCTGGCAAGTCTCAGTTGAAACTACCGTTTACCTCGCTATCTAAACAAAGCGGTAAGTAAGTTGAACGGAATTCAAAACTTTGGTAACGGTAAATAGTGGGAAAGAAATGGGACGATAACCAGGCAGTTTGATTCAATCTGGTTCAGAACTGAGATATACTCGAATGGCCGATCGCAAAGTACGAGTAGGTGGTCAAATCATCTACACACCAGATAAGGAGGATGACTTGGACGATAGCGATCCTGATGAAGATCTCAATTTATGACAGACCTCGATGTGATACTCAATGTTAATAAATTTTTATTTCTCTCTCTTTCTCTTCTTTGTCATTATGTCACTTTTACTCGTTTTCGTTTTGCCGTATCAAGTTCTTCCGTAGCAGCGAACTTGGGCCTCTTTTCTCCTACAGCTGTTTTGGAATGCGTCTTCTTTCGATTATTTCGAGGCCGCTTAATCTCTTCGATTCGTTTGTCAACCTGTAAGTAAGAGCTCTCTAAGCAGTACAAAAAGAAATAAGTAAATTTTAGCTCACCTCTTCCTCGGGTACTCCACTCATTAATAGATCTTTGCGTAGATTGGCTTCCTTTCTTTCACCAAAACTATTTTGTTCTAGCCTCAACTCGGCTTCACGCTTGGCAACGAGAACCTTTGTCACATAACGTGTGATCTTTTGGTCGCTCACCTGAACCATTTGTGAGTTCATAATGGCGATCGATACCAAAAATATCCAAAAAGACTACCTTGAGCTCCTCCAGCTTCATTCCAATAAGTTCTTCCACGGCTTGGAGAAGAACTATATCGTACTGGGTGACGAATGTTAATGCAGCTCCGTACCTGAAACTCGTGCGTCCCCAGAT